TTTTGTCCAGCCTTCAAAACGGGCTTTTTCAAATTTCTCCGTTTTTCTCGGTTCGTACTCAGCGAAATCAGAAGCCGTTTTGTGGAGTAATGTTAGGCCAACATGCGCGTCACATAGCAAAGTTTCAGACAATCTCGTCAACAAAAACGCAAATTGCGATGACTTATAGAGTGGCTTTATAATTATGTCCAGCACTGTAGTTATATCAGTGAGTTTGCGCTTTTTGCTGATTTCGAAAGTTAACTGCTATTTCTTATGCGAAAAGTGTAAACAGAAGGTACCTAGAGGATCCGTTCGGAACAAAGAAAGATATTGTTATTTCAGAAACAATCCCGGTCAATCCTCTGCACGTGAACAAGGCTCAGGGAAAGGAGGAGAGCAAGTAGATGGACGTGGAAAAGACCATATTGGAAACGCACCAAAAGACGGAGTAAGAGAAGGTGGTACAATGGAACAAGGCCGCAACGGAAACTTCCCAATAGGAGCACAAGGAGCGATGGAAAGAGGAAACTTCCCAATAAGAGGAGGAGGCGTAATGGAAGTCGGACGTAACGGAAACTTCCCGAGACAAAGAGGGGGAAGTGCAGATGAAAGAGTTCATTCTGGAAACTCCGTGGAGCGAGGAAGAGAAGCAGCAGGAAAAAGAGGAGAGGTGGCAAGTCCAATGGAAGATGGACGCAGTGGTAAAGGGAAAGGAGGAGAAAGGAAAGGTGACAACGGAAAAGGAGGAAGTGGGACAGAATTGGAAAGGGAACGTAACGGAAAGCTTCCAATAGAACCTAATGGAAGGTCACCGGGAAGGGGAGGAAGTGCAGATGAAAAACTCCATCCTGGAATCTCAGTAGAAGGAGAAAAAGCCGAAGCAGGAAGAAGAGGAGGAGCAGGAAGTCCAGAAGAAAAAGAAAGTAATGTAAATTCACCAGAAAAAGGAACAGCAGGCGCAGCGGGAGCTGATTCCGATGGGCACAAAGGAGAAAATCTAGCGGCAGCAGGTAGAGGAGG